AAAAATTTCCTGGACCATCAAATCGACATTAGCAATTATAGTCACCGCCTCTCCATGACCACTCTTCAAATTATTTTTGCATTTTAGGGTCATAAAACTAGAATTACGACCGATTCCAAGATTTTCGTGTGCTATAGCCCAAGCTTTCTGCATGGGCCCAGACACTCTGAGCCGGATCTCCTAAAATTTTCTCAAGCTATCAAAAATGACCTAAGGAACAATATTCACTACCTCACCATGACCGTTCCTCGTTTTTGGCGTTTTAGGACCGTAAAACTGAAATTTTGCCCGATTTCCTAATTTTCGTGTGCTATTGCCCCGACCTTACATAAGGGCCCGGACCCCCCATCACGGATCGCTTAATATTTTATCGAGCCACTAAAATAACCTAAGGAACAATATTAACTACCTTTCCATGATCATTCCTTATTTTTTTAGCATTTTAGGGCCGTAAAACTTGAATTCCGCTTGATTCCCAATTTTTATGTTTTATAGATCACGCCTTCAGCATGGGCCCTGTTCCCCGGGCTCGGATCACCTAAAATTTTTCTGAGCCATAAAAAACAACCTAAGGAACAAAATTCACCCAACTCGCCATGATCGTTACTCGTTTTTTGGCATTTTAGGACCATAAAACTAGAATTCCGTTCGATTTCCAAATTTCCGTATGCTTTGGCCCACGCCTTCCGCATGGGCCCGACTACCCCAGACCCGAATCGCCTATTATTTTCCCAGGCCATTAAATATGATCTAAGGAACAATAGTCACCGCCTCGCCATGACCTATCCGTATTTTTGGCATTTTAGGGCCACAAAATTGGAATTCCGCCCGAATTCCCAAATTTTCGTGTGTTATAGCCCACGCCTTCTACATGAGTCCCAGGTCCCCAGGCCTCGACCGCCTAAGATTTTCTTGGTCTATCAAAAATGACCTAATGAATAATAGTCTCCCCCACGCCATGAATGTTTCTCATTATTTGGCATTTTAGGGCCATAAAACTGAAATTCCGCCAGATTCCTACACTTTCGTATGTTATAGCTCACACCTTCACATAGCCTCGGGACCTCTTGCTAGCAATGAAAAATGACCTAAGGAACAATAGTCACCGTCTCGCAATGACCGTTCCTCGTTTTTTGGCGTTTTAGGGCCATAAAACTAGAATTTGGCCCGATTCTCAAATTTCCTTATGTTATAGCCCACACCTTCTGCACAGGCCCCGGGCCCCTAGACTCGGATTGTCAAAATTTTTCCTTGGCCATAAAAACGATCTAAGGAATAATCGTCTCCGCTTTTCCATGACCGTTCCTTATTTTTTGGCGTTTTAGGGTCATAAAGCTAGAATTATGCCCGAATTCATGATTTTCGTGTGCTATATCCCAAACCTTCGGCATGGTCCCAATATTAAGATTTTTGTGTGCTATAGCCCATGCCTTGCACATGGGCCTGAACCCCCGAATCTGGATCGTCAAAATATTTTCCGGGCAATCAAAAAGAACCTAAAGAACAATAGTCACCGCCTCGCCATGACTGCTCCTTATTTTTTTGGCATTATAGGGCCATAAAATTGAAATTCCGCTCAATTCCTAATTTTTTGTGTTATAGCTCACGCCTTCCACTTGGGCGTGGGGCCGTGGACCCTGGTCGCCAAATATTTTATTGAGCCAACAAAAATGACCTAAGGAACAATAGCCTACGCCTTCCTCATTTTATAGCGTTTTAGGACCATTAAAGTGGAATTACACCTGATTTAAAGATTTTCGGGTGCTATAGCCCACGACTTCTGCATAGACCTGGGCCCTCCGACTCGGATCGCTTAAAATTTTCCTGAAGCCTTCAAAAACCACCTAAAGAACAATAGACCTTGCCTGTCCATGACCGTTCCTCGTTTTCTGGAATAATAGGGCCATAAAATTGGAATTTCTCCCGATTCCTTGATCGTTTCTCATTTTTTCTGTTTTATGGCCATAAAACAAAAATTTCGCGCGATTCCCATATTTTTCATTTTCTTAAGCCTACACCTTCAGCACGGGTGATAATAGGATAAATTGTTTAATATAGCCTATGTTTTAGCTCAACTTAAGGATGGTTTACTATTATAAATGTTCAAATAATGCAAAAATTGGCTCTAATCATGACTTTAATGTCTCACAGGAGTTCAATAAACAAATGAGGATTTATGATGGTAATCAAGTGAAAAATGGAGTCAAATGACGAAAAGTTGAGCAGCAACATCTTAACAAGAGAAAACCCCACTAGCGCGGGTCATGCGCTTGTCATGCGCTCCCGCACTAGTTTAATTATTTTGGACAGAAAGAAACCTCACCAGCGCTGGTCATGCGCTCCCGCGCTAGTCCTGTCCGGGAAATCAATTATTTGGTTCTAGAAAAAATTCAAAATCTTCTGCTAAGCCTTCAGCTAATCCCACAGATATACAGTTGTAAGCCAATCCCCAGGCTTTGCCTACTTCTAAGACTCCCCCCCCCCCC